CTGATTCTTAAAGAGCAATATTCACCTCTTCCATCGCGGCAACTTGTTGATCATGCTGTTTTTTCCTATGCTCGGCAAGCTCTTTTTGATCTTTCGCCTGGTGTTCATTTCGAAGATTTTCCAGCGTCTGAAGAGGTTCCAGGAATTTCATTTTTCCAAGCTATTTTCTAGAATTCATAAAGTATACCAGTCGATCGGTGACAGCTTGCAATTCTACGATAGTTTGACTAAGTTGTTCTTTTTCTCTTTCAGCCCGCTCCATCTCGGATGTCTGAAATGCAAGTCAATTGCAAGAATATGGCACAATAGAAAATGCTGATTGATAATCGCTAAAACACCCACTAAAAACTCGTTTCGATTTTCAAGTTCGTGCAGACGATCTTTCATTTCCCGTTCGTTTTGCTTGAGCTTCTCCGTGTCTCTTTCCAAATCATGGATACGGGTCTTGAATATCACTTTATTTTGTGACTTTTCATGGAAAGATGCTCAAAATTACCTTAAGTCTAGCTATGCGACTTTCAGCTGCTTCTTTATCCTTCATGTTCTCCCTTTCGAATGTCCGGAGCAGTTGGGTTAAATTTTCACCTCGACTAGTTGTAGGTGACCTCACATGGAAGGAGGAAGAACGCAATGCTACACGAGGAGACGGTCGGATCCTCTGATCGCTAATCAATGAATCATTTCTATTGTACCAGAGGGAGTAACTGACATAAATTTACTTCAATTAAAGTCAAGAGTATCATAGAATTCATTAATTGTTACTTTATTGGCTAACAAGGAGACAAGAAGATAGATATTTTAGCTTACTTATGATCACTTCGGTCTACTGCAGTTCCATTATGTGCGGACCAATCTACGCGGGCAGAAGTACGGTTTAAAACGTCAAGCATCGCATTTGTGCTTTCGAAGGGCGTATAGAACTAAAATTAAGGCTGAGTAATTCCTGCTACTATAATTCTCGCCTGATACAAACCCCTTCTTCATCCTTCTTCTGCGTCTCAAGTGCTGTAAGTATAACGTCTTCAGTATAGCCCATGTCCCGAGCTAGCTTTAATTGATTCTAAAGAAAGAAAACTCTTAAAAAGCTACTTTTCGGCTCTAAACCCACCTGCAATGACTTTGACGCTTGTTCGGCCATGTCAGCGCTCCAATGTAATGATGACGACGAATGTGCTGAAATCGTAATGTCCTTTACAAAGCATTACATGCAATCACTATAAGCCTACGAGATATCAGAACAACTGATTCAACAGACACAATTGACGGTTTGAAAGAAACGGTTGGCGGTCTCAAAATAATGATTGGGAAATAGTGAAGTGAACCCAAAGCCAACTTTATTATATACGTTTTTCGGGAAAGTACACCATACAGACAGCCTGAATAAAATATGCTTGGACTTCATGTATATTAGTCATCGACGATCGAAGTGCATCACAAACCAGATTTCTGCAGACAATTAAACATAGCGATTTGGTTTTTGTGCCTTTTTTCAAGCATGTTTTCCCTAACAAAAGCACTGAATTGACCGAAT